GAACTAGAGAGAAGGAGGTCTTGTGAGGAGCGGAGTGTGCGTGCTGGGTGGTTTTTGGATATTAGGTCGGTGATGTATTTCGGGGCAGTATGGTGGACGGCTTTGTACGTCAATGTTAGGATTTTGAATTTGATCCGTTGCGCAATCGGAAGCCAGTGGAGGGATTGGCAGAGGGGGGTGGCGGAAACAGAGCGGTTGGAAAGGTGAATGAGTCTGGCAGCCGTATTCAGGATCGACTGAAGCGGGGATAGCCAGGGGCGAGGCAGGCCAGTGAGGAGGAGAGTTGCAGTAGTCGAGTCGTGATATGATGAGGGAGTGGATGAGCTGTTTAGTGGTTTCTGGGGTTAGGAACGTGCGGATTTTAGCGATGTTGCGGAGGTGGAGTCTGCATAAGTTTGTTAAAGATTGGACTTGGGGCTGGAATGATAGGTTGGAATCCAGAATGACACCAAGTACTTTGGCCTGCGGAGCGGGTTTGATGGTGGCGTTGTTGGACATGATGGAGAGTATAGCCAGAATATTGATACTGCTGCTTCTAGTTCGTATTGGACAACAAATCCATATAAATACACTTGTGACCCATTAATTAATTAGAAGGCTGTTTACACAGTAAGCTGCAAAACTGTAAGCGGTGGTGGTAGCACCTGCCTGGCAATGCAGCATGCCATGGCGGCTGAACAGAATCTAGAAATTCTTTGGCTGGTAAAACTGTTCTTCATTTCTATTGTCCTTCAACTGTGTATTTAGCTGTTTGCCTTTTTTGCAATCTGATTTTTTTTTTTTTATAAAAACATTAACGAAAGGAAAAAAAAATATTTATGTGCATATTGGAGTCTATTGATAGAAAATACAGGTTTATAGCCCTGGTTCACACTGATGCGGTGCGGAATTCGCAGCATTTTCAGTGCGAATTCTGCACCGCATCAGAATCGCACCCCGTTCATGTGAACCGCTGCAGGTGTGTATGTTAGGGTAAAACCCCAAAAGTGGTCCGCAGAACACGGTGCGATGTGCAGAATCGTATCGCATAGGTGTTAATACCTATGCAAACCGATTCTAGTGTGGACCTAAGGGTTCTGCACGTTTTTGGTGCAGGTGCGGTGCCAATAGAGCCATACAAAATATATGGCTCCAATCGCACCGCACACAAATCACATGTGATTTGCACAGGAATGCGGTGCGGTTCCTATGCGAATCACATGCGATATACCACACCGCATATATGTGAACCCAGGCTTAGTGGTAATAAACTCAAAAGCCAGCATTTATTATGCACAGTTGTATTGCAGCTTACCAATTCTTGGATATGATGGCTGCAGTAACTCTTTTTCAACAGAACAGGCTGTCCAGCAGATGCAGCAGTTAGAGGGTTCCATGAGCTGCAGGGTGGTTAGAGATGAGTTTAGGAAATATCTGAAGATGCCTTTTATAGTTCAGCTTCACCCAGACATCACACTTTAAAGTGAAAGGTGGAGTTTAACAACAAAAGAAACAGATTAGAATTTGATATTGCAGAGATTATTGTTGTGCCAAAAGAGTACTTTACTTTTGCTGTAAGGAGTATTTTCTGGGGAAAATTTTCAATAGCGTTGTAGTTTTGTAAAAATTGTAAAGCTTAAGTTTAGTTACAGAAAAAAAACACGAAGGACATTGCTTATTATCATTGAGAAGTGCTTCTTGTGATGTTGGCTCCTGCTTTTGTTTAAATTTTGCTCCTCCAGTTCCCCTTCTGCCATTGCTGGCATAATCTTACAGTGCTGGGTTAATGGAGTGTCATAGTGTCATATGCAGTCAATAGAAGTGTCAGCTATGCCTGCTCTATTCACCTCCTTCCTCCATTCATAGAAGCTATACTTGAACATTTATGAATGAGGCCCTGTCTGTGAATTGTGAAGGCAGACCTTTCATTTATCATTCCATCCCCTATTCATAGATCAAGGGGATTGGAGGAGGAAGATTTCAAATAAACAAGAGCCAGCAGCACAAGGTACACTTCTCAGTGCTAGTAATATATGGGCTTTGTGCTGATATTTGTTTGGCAAAACATAGGCTTGAAGTAAATATTTTAGATGGGTAATCACTTTGTGGCTTTCAACATTTTGCAACATATGCTTAAATTGCTGGTCTTTGTGCATAATTTATAAAAGATATGTAGTTGTGCACATCTGTCATTTATTAGACAGGGCAGGAGTTGTTTATAACATAAATGTACACCCAGGCCAATGTAAGTCACCTGTCAAGACAAGACAACTGTGGGAGCTACTTTTGCACTCTCTGGAGCTGTCATCCTTATCCTTCATTTACTACTTTGTAGGTCAATGACCTGTAATGAGTGTGTTCATAGCAGTATCTAAATGCTTAGCAGTGCTGCCTGGCAGTAGTAGGGTTGTTGGTTCAAATTCCGGCCACTGCACCGCCTGCCTGGAGTTTGCATGTTCTCCCTGTGCCTGTGTGGGTTTCCTCTGCATACTCCGGTTTCCTTCCTCACTCCAAAGACATGCTGGTAGGTTAATTGGCTCCTGTGTAAATTGTCCCTAGTATGTGTATGTATGAATGTAAGTTAGGGACCTTAGAATGTACACCCCTTGAGGGTTAGGGACTGATGTGAATGTACAATGTATATATGTAAAGCGCTGCGTAAATTGACGGCGCTATTTAAGTACCTGAAATAAATAAGCCAGGTACTTGCTAAATAGTATATCCGATAAGAATGTTTTGTGCTGTTTTTGCACATTCAAGCTCCCCAGGCTTTGGGGTTCCTAAAGCTAGACCACATGTGTGATCGTAATTTCAGGCTCTTTCTTTTTGTGCCAGCTACACAGACTGTTATATTTAAAATCAACTCAGACTCACTTTAATTATAAGCCTGTTTTACATGTGCACGGGAATTAACATGCAATTGCTGTTCCACTCGAATATAAAGCCAACGTTCATAAAATGAATTTGCAGGACACACAAAACAGAACATAAACGTTACATCTTGTAAATGACTTGTTGTTGGTAAAAAGTGTAAAAGCTGAGCTAATGTTAACCTGGGCAACTGATGCCTACTCATCCTGGCTAGGCAAACTACCGAAATACTCTCTGGCAGCTATCATACATATAAAGTGTAGACAGATATAAACATATATGCCTTCGAAAAGGTCTTTATGAAACTAATTTCCCTTTTGTATTTGACCAATCTGAACCTTAAATGTAAAAGCAGTTGAAAAGTGAACTAAATGAATACGGTGACCATGAACCAGACAAAGCTCTCTGTTAGACAAATGTGCTGATACTTTGTTGTCCTGATGACTGCAGAGCACCACATTGACATAGCAATGTCTTACTGCGAACAGACATAATTCACCTTTTTCTTTTTTCCTTGTTATGGACAATATCACTTTTATTGTACATGTTAAAGTGGACCTTTCATTAAAATTCACACTTCACATGAATCAGTAGGGTTCATGTCAATATCACCTAATCACATTATTTTGAGTGGAACAAAAAAGGAAACTCTTTCTTGCTATTGATAAAACATGCTGTTTTCAGACTGCTGGCTGTCAGATCAAAAGTCATAGGTAATTCTTAAAGAGCAACACACACTCATTCTTCTTCAGGTTCAAAGCTTAGGCATAGATGCTTCCACTTCTTTCTGTACCTGTGTGGCAGTGTTAAAAAATGTTGTACGACCCTGCCTGTAGTGATCAGTGTTTTCGGGGTTGTGGTCATCGTGGTGATGTATTGCATATCTGGTGGTCATGCCCGAGGCTGTTTCATTTTTGGTCTCATGTGTTTGGCCTCCTTTTCACCTTGTTCCATCTCTCCATACGCCAGGATGCTCGGTATGCTTTGCTTCATTGCCCCATACCGGGCCTCTTGGCCCACCAGCAGAAGTTGGCTTCCTATCTGTTTTTATCGGCCACTAGAACAATTGCTCAGGCCTGGAAGAGTCCGTTTGTTCCTCTTCAGGGGGTGCGGGACCGTATGACCACTATGATGCTCAACGAACAGATGTCGAGTATCCTCAACGACTCCCAACGCAAATTTTTGAAAATATGGGAGCCGTGGTTGCAATATGCTTTTTCCTCACTCCCCCCGGCTAGTCTGGGGATGTAATGGCGTTCGGTATTGGCGCTTGGACCCCTGCTTTTGCCCCCCCTTTTTTTTTTCTTCTCTTTCTTCCTTTTTCTCTCTCTCTCTGTTTTTGGTGTGACTGGACAGCTGCATTTAGTTGTAATAGTCAGTTACATTAATGTTTTGTAACTTATGTGCCATTGATAGCCCCTGCGTGGGCGTACCTTTTGCCCTGTTGGTGTTAGAGCACTGTTTTTCCTTTTTTTTTATTTTGCATTTTGTTTATCTGTGCAATTGATAGCCCCTGCGTGGGCGTGTTTTATTGCCTTTGTTTTATACTGTTTAAAAAATTAATAAAAAACATTGAAATAGAAAAAATGTTGTACGGATACACAATCATAAACTGATGTTATGGATAAATATACATTATACTAAGGTAGAGTTTCCCATTCAGAAAGTCAAAATTCTCCTTTAAAATGACCAGGCCACACAAATTGAATGTTTATATTTTGGGTAGGTGGAATCGCCCACTGGCTTTGCAAAGCATCTCCTATATCCTTGAGGGTGGATTGAGTGTGCATAGACTTCCCTCAAGCAGCTGGATTAGCCATTGGGTCCATGAATTTTTCCATTCTGCTTGGCATGGGTTTTCTAATGTCTACAATTATTGTTTCCTCCAAACCACATCCTGAATCAGACACTTCTACGAAACATAAGATCATCTGTGGTTGTTCTATAGAGATGCCAGCAGTGAGATCTGGGCACACATTTGAATCCAGTTATTTAGTGACTCCTTATATCAATCCTGGGTGGAATGATCCTTCACGTTAGCTGCTTTTCAGTTGCACTTTCAGTTTTTCAGTTATGTTGATGTATTTTTTTCCATTTTGGGTCTTGTGCCTACTGCCCATCTAACAGTTTTACTGTTCTTTCTTAAACAGATCCAATTGATATTGTGAAAGATCCAATCCCCCCACATGAATATAAGCCAGAGGAGGACCCTAAAATATACAAGTCACTGAAGACCAAAAGAGGCCCCTTGTCTGATGACTGGATAGAGGAACATAGGAATAACCTAGGGAGATACCCCATCATGTGCGCATACAAGCTGTGCAAAGTAGAGTTTCGGTATTGGGGCATGCAGTCAAAAATTGAACGCTTCATTCATGACGTGGGTAAGTCTAGAAACTGAATCTGTACAATTCTGGGATGTACTTTTTTTTGATTGTGCTTGATTTGTACAGAACCAGAATGTAAATGTGTTGTATGAGCAATGACTTATATATAAAAGTTTATATCCAATAAAATTTCTGTTACAGGTGAATTTGGTTTCTTTGCTTCTAAAGATCCTGGTCCTCTCATGACTGTTGCAGCTGCAACTCTACTTTTTTTTTTTTAATATAAATCTTTTTATTTCTTTTCTCATAGAGAACAAACAAGAAAAACTTACATAACAGAGCTTTTGGCCTTTCCTTGGCTCGAGTTTCACTTCTAACATAGATTACTAACTAAAACAGTCATGAACAACTTCAACCAATCGGTAACTTAAACCCCTGCTTGGTCCGTAACTCTACTTTCTGAAGAGATTCATGAGAGAATCGTTTGCCACAACTGGGGAAGAGCCTGGGGGGATTTCAAGATATCCTCACCAACAGCCTCCATTATAAAGAGAGCTGTGACCTGTCCTGCAAAGTGCATAAGGTGACAGCAGTGCTGAATTGTTGTTCTTTATGATGACTGCATGCACTTGAGTGATCTTCAGATCATTCCTAGTATCTCTGTGGGGGTCCCTTGGACTTTTGCTAGCTTCAGACGGGTTTTGAATTCTCAAACATGGCTATGGGAATGCTAAACCTGCAGGTCAGGAGGAAGTCAACAGTAGGTCAAATGCACTTGCCAATGAATTCTGAATGCTCATAGAAGTGTCTCAAACTTGTGCTGGGGACACAATCTCAAAGTCCACTGACACAGGCCCTTAGGGCTCCTTTATACTTGCAAACGGGGTGGCAATAAAAATATGCGGTTGAGCCACATTTTTACTGACATCCCCAGGCTGAAAAGGAAGCAGCTGGGGGTGCACACATGCTGTGGCCCTTTTTTCTTTAAGGCCGTGGGCAGGAGTTAAGCCCCCTGTCATATTGATTGGGCACTACCACCCAACTAATGTGTAAAAAGGCTGTTTGATCCTTTCTTCTCTGTTCCTGCCTTTTTTCAAGTGACCACCACTTACCTCCAGACTGAACCGTAGGCATGCACATGCTCAGTTTGGTGTATATTGCTAGAGAGGTTTTTTTTTTTCCTTGGGAGACGGCATGTGATCAGCACAGGGCCAATCAGCACTGTCCAGACAGAAGTCAGGGGATTTCCATCCTCCTAGAGCAGAAAGAAAACTCCTCCTACAAGCTTTAGCTAGTGCTGGGCTGGACACTGATAGAAGTCACAAGACTGCTCTAACTGCTGATGAGAAAAGGTATTTAGCAGTTTATATTTACTAAAATAATTGCACTTCCATGTTATGTGTACTGTGGGAGACCAGATATAGTGGATGCAGGGTCCTGGGTTTAATAACACTTTAAGTGGTGTGGCACTTGCCTGGTTAAAACGTGGTGAGAAGGTGGCATATCACTTCCTCACCACCTGCAAACACCTCTAAAAAGTGATTTGAGTGCGGATTGCTTTTTCAGATGCGTAGCAGACTTTACTGCATGTGTAAACAATTCCTTACACAGCTACAAACAAGCAGCACTGTTGGTAATTTAAACAATTTTAAGGGCAGGTCACGTTCACTTAAAGAAGCTGACTGCTCAATGAACCATCTGATTTCATCTGATTTATAAAATATGGGAGAATTTGCCCTCTATTGATGCATTACTTTTTTTTTTTTTAAGTCCTGGTGTGAAGTAAATAATTGCATTCTTGCATAGACACGTACCTTTGCTGAAACACGACAAACTGATTTGTATATGTAATCATTTTGCTGTGGTGAAGGTAAATGATCTTCTTAGTGCTTGACATTCTTTATAAAGAAAAATAGATTTTGGTTTTAGGATTTGTGTTTATTGGAAAAGCTGGTCGCACTGTGTAACACAAGATATATTCCTACCATCTCTCCTCTTATACAAGAATGACAGTAGACCATAGCAAAATCATGAGATGTGTTGTGCATTAATGGTTCAAGTCATTTTTTTGTCTCAGGTGGCTACAAAGTCCTATGTCATATGTCTCTCTCAGCCTCTTGATAATGGCAGATTTTTATGGCAAGGGAGTGCTTTTGTAGGTGATCGCTGTCAAATGACAAACTATATTATGACTGTTACGAATAGCCTGTGGGCAGCTTGTGTGCTTTTTAAATTGCTAAGAATAAGGGGTGAGATCATTGTATGCCCTGCTGCAGTAAAATCATCTTAGGGTGTAGACGTATACACCTCCCTTATTAAGATCTAGATCCCCACAATCTGTAGATTAACGTTCTTTACCATACTTGCTAAGTGAACTCTGCAATATTTTTTATTTTAAAGCTAGGAAAGCACAATGTGTGCTTCTAGTTTTACGATTGCAGTAATGATTGCATGCTTATGGGTAATTTCTTCACCATGACAGTTGATAAATGGTGATCACATAGGTTAACGAAGAAACCTGCTGTTTTCAGCTGTCACTGTACCTCACATAGAGGGAGGCACAGTTATGTCTGAAGCCAGCAGCCTGCAGCTGCAGAGCAAATGTCAAGCGGATCCGCCTGCTCAGCGGGAGATCTGTCCGCTGAGCAGGCAGATGACATGTCCGTGCCTGCTCCGCTTGTGCAGAGCGACCATGGAAACAGCCCGCTGTTCTCTATGTGGTGGTCAGATGTAAACTGACTGCCTGTCCATTTACATCCAACTGTCATCCAATGCGCTGGATGGATGGTGAACGTATTCCCACCCATCTGATTTTGTAGGATGGGATGCAGGCGGGTATAAATGGACACGTCCATTTACAGCCACCTCCCTTTAGAGAAGAATGGGTGGTTCGATCGGGTCCGCCTGAAAAACGGACAAGCGGACCTGATCGGTCCGATCATTTGAAAGGGGCCTTAGAGGGACGAGACAAACTGTTTACCACTGACAGTGGTGATTACAATGATCAGCTTTTATTAATGAAAAACCTTTATCCCAAAAGGTAAAAATAATTAAACTGCAATAACTGCTTGTGGAGTAATAGCTAGAGTGTGACCTCAATTTGTTAGTGTATCTAAAACTGCTAGTACATCCTCCCCCTACCCCCAGGCTGACAATGCTGCTGTCCAAAGATACCCTCTGTGCTCCTTCACCCAGCAGGTGTGTTACCGGCTAGATCACCAGGTGAAAACAGAGGGGGAAAAACAGAAAACTAATGCAGCTACCACATCTAATGCATGGTAAGCTGCAATATGTTATATTTTTGGATTTAGTACAGCTTTAAAAGTAGAGATGTTGTGCAGGTATACTGTTACTGCTGTAAGGAAATGTTTCACCTTTGATTGAAGTTCACATTTAACATCTGAAAAATAAAACCCAAGCGAAAAGAAGCAGTAGCTGACACTTCTGAAAATGTAATCCCATTATCCCCTCAGTGTTTGCTTATTTAATGACTGTATCAACAAGACGAACCTTGTTTTTCTGCACTGAAAAAGACAAATGCCTAGCCAAGTTCTTTCAGATGTAGTTAAAGTGTTACTAAACCCAGGACCCTGCATCCACTATATCTGGACTCCCACAGTATACAGAACATGGAAATGCAATTATTTTAGTAAATATAAACTGCTAAATACCTTTTCTCATCAGCAGTTAGAGCAGTCTTGTGACTTCTATCAGTGTCCAGCCCAGCACTAGCTAAAGCTTGTAGGAGGAGTTTTCCTTCTGCTCTAGGATGATGGAAATCCCCTGACCTCTATCTGGGCAGTGCTGGTTGGCCCTGTGCTGTTCACATGCACTCTCCCAAGAAAAAAAAAAAAAAACCTCTCTAGCATCACACACCAAAACTGAGCATGTGCATACCTACGGTTCAGTCTGGAGATAAGTGGTGGTTGCTTGAAAAAGGGGAGGAACAGAGAAGAAAGGATTAAACGGCCTTTTTATACAATGCAGAATATTAACCCCTTAGCTTCCACAGGGAGTATAACAAGCATGCTGTACTGCATATACAGACTGATGTTACTGTTGTGGGTTTAGTACTACTTTAAAAGAACAAGCTTGGGAAAATAATGGTGCAGTGACACTCTTTACCAGAAACTCAGAAATTGGGCAACTACTGTATATAAGAGCCAGTGTAGGCTGCAGGTCAGATGCCCCTATAGTACATGTTGATTTATCTTAGAAGCCCCTCAAACTGATGTCAAATACATGCTCAATTTTCCCATCAAATCCTTTTGAGATGGGCCCTATGCATACTCCCAACAGTCCTGGAATTTAAGCTACATCCCAATGTGGTTCAAATCTGAGCTCTGTCCTGCTACGGGCTGGGTGCTGGAGCACTCATTCCTGCACTTGGCTTTGACCTCTTTGCTGCTCTGTCTGATCTCCTGCTCCTATGAGCACTATAGTTCTGGCAAAGGGAGGCAGCCGTACAGGATATAGGTAAGTAGTCCACTGAACACCAACCTTCCCCACTAAGCACCAGTAACCCCCATGGACCCCCACTCTAACTCTGCCTTGCACCAATGGCTCCACTTTCCCTTCACAGAGCGCCAGTACCTCTCCTCCTTCCACCACCCCTTACAATAAATGCAGGGCTTTTTCTTTTTTACTATCGTTGACGCCATTCATTTTTTCTTCTGTTGACCACAGATATCGTCCATCTTTTCCTGCTGGTGACCAGCAACATAGCGCGCTCTATTACACTGACTGCTGCACTCTAAACATTGTGCGGTGAATAGCAAAGTGCTTACTGCTGTGCATTACATACTACTGACCAAAGTATTATTATTATTATATTATTATACAGGATTTATATAGCGCCAACAGTTTTCTCAGTGATTTTCAATATAAAGTGAGACAATACAGCAACGATACAGTTCAATACAAGAGGGTTAGGAGGGCCCTGCTCCTTGGAGCTTACAATCTAAGTATTTATTGTATCAACAGTTGCTGGTTGATAAGTAGTTTCTAACTATTTTAATGAAGTCTTACGATAATATCAGACAATAGCTCTTTAACTA